AGATAGTCAATGGATATTCGTTTTCAAAAGAATAATAATGAATTAAATGAGTCTCTAGGTCGCATGGGTAAGAAGATATCATTCAAAACTAATATCAGAGAGAAGAATACATGACTAAGTTTTCTAGGTGGCAGTGAGCTGACAGAAATTAACAAAATCTGTAACTGTGAAGTTCAGATTTAGATGTAGGTTTATTTTAGCTTCTATACATGATTAACATGTCTTCCCCAGGGATCATAGAACAAGAGAGAAACAATACAATCTGAATTCTATTTTTCTGTACTGTTCTCTGTTTTGTATTTGATGTTGTAACCTAATAATAATGTTCATGGGTGGGTATTAACGTTTAGTTCGGAAATTCATCGAACGAACATTAACCTACTTAATTTGGCCTTGTATCATTCATACACTTGACAATTCAGTCTTGTCTACATTCAACACCTACAGCCTAGACAATTCAGTAACCACTAGTGGCATAACTACATCTTATTTACTACTTTTAATACAGACATCAAAATATATAAGAAAGCGTTATTTAGAATAGTATTGCTCTCTACTTACTATATGTCCCATCTTGCCCACGAACCCACTGTCTAGAGAAGACAAAATCTCTCTTCGATTGCCATCTGCAAAATATACTATTTAACCAATCAGTTCAATGAAAAAAATGTAAGCGCAAAACTATCCACCGAATTAAGTGATATATGCAGAAACTGTACAACATGTCGAAACTGGAGAATACGAACATCTGATCGAGGAAAGATAGCAAGACATTTTAACGAATGCGTCTTTTTCACTAGAAAATACAGAGTGACCAGTGTGTCACTAAGGAAAACCAGAATTTTCAGTTAAACGACATACCGTGAAAGATATTTAGGATCGTATACGCAGTAAATGACATCATAGTGGCCCTCATATGAGTCTATCTTTTCCGAATCACCTGTTACTGCATCCCACCTGTGTGGATAGTTAGAAAGGTCTAAGTAACAGATGACATCTATATTTTCAAGGAAATGAGCTTACTCGTATCTTTGATGTTTGTCAATGCTCAAAAGCACTTCGAACACAGTATCCGCACTAGCTTCAACTACAGCAACTGCTTTCACAAGAACTCCTCGACCAGCCTAAAGAAGAAATCATTTTTAACAAAACCATGAAACCCACTTAATTCATGAATGACAAAATACCCAAAAAGTTTCCAACACCTAGTAAGTTGGGACAACCATGCCAATCACCATAATCAAGGGCAAGAAGTCACCGAAAGCTAACTTGCAAGGCCAGAATGCCCATTTATTAACCAGCTATAAACCAATACCGTATTTGACCAACATGGGATTACAACGAAACACCATTTTTTAAGCCACCATCCAAGGAAACACACTCAACTCATTCTTTGATAGCTTTCTCAAGGTCGAACTTTTTGCAATATGCATTCTTGCAAGGAATTTATGCCGAATGCGAATTTCTATGGACTTAACCTATACTACGTCCAAAACACTCTCTACATGTCCTTAACAGCTAGATAGTAAATGGTATGTACCAATGTACAAATTGCTTTTTTAAACCCAAAGACCAATCTCTTAGGTCATTGGTTTTAATTTTCAATCAAGCAGATCTGCCTATATAGTTGGAAACGTATTCTCTGAATAAAATTAAATATACCTTGAAGTTAGCCACATCTTCAAAAATCCTAACACCTGCAAACAATGAATCAGAAAAAATAAATAATTGAAGGTTATGTATCAAAGAGCATGCAAGGCAAAAGAACAATCTCAATGTGATTAGGCCTTATAGTCTCCAAATTCTGAACGTCAGGTACTACTATATTTCCAAACATCCTTCAGATTCATAGAGATGAAAAACAGCCAACCTAAAAAACTGGACAAGTATGTCTGCATCTTTTTGGTGATTATGAGTATTCTACAATTACCTCTTTATAACTGATAGAGAAGTATGCATAGTCAAAAGGAGACACCACAAAAAAAAAAAAAAAAATCATTTTAATGCATGTTTTATAAGTGTTTATAAGTGGGGACATTCAAATTGACCCCCATTACTCGTTATGTAGATGAAAAATTTGTAATGCGTAGGTTGTCTGATATCAAAACTCTACAGTTTACCGCCAAACATACCATTGATTGTACGAACACACTTCCATTCATGTGCCTCGATTGCATCTCCGTTGTCACCACCCTCATAGAAACCATCACCCCTAACATCATTAACCAAGGTAGAGGATTGCCTCAAAAGAGTCTCTGGACCTGTCATTTAAGAACATTATCATACATCTTTGTTTTAAAATAGAAGTAACTTTTAGGTGAACCTTATCTCTTGAATCATGAATAAGCACTAGATTAAACTATAACTACAGTTTCACTTATATACGGAACATATATTTGAATCCGGTGTCGATCTATTTAAATGTAGAAATAATCAGAATATGTCATTTTGCATGTGCCCAACCCAAAGAGAGGGGGAACAAGGAAAACAGGCAATGAATTGTAATGTTTTTTTTCCCAATGTCAAATTTGGAGATTCCCGCATAAACTACGATAATAATTATAGTCTATATACCAACAAATGAACTTTTAACAATCTGGGCATACAATCTTGTATAACTGGACACACAATCTTGTATAAATGGACACACAAAGTAAGATTCTGAAGCTAAGCAAGCCCATAAACTTGAGATAAAGAATAAACCTTGCCCAATTCGGATAAGCTTTTTTAATCCATAAGCATAACGTCGTACTCTAGGTCGATGTCCTTCCAGATCGATGCTTCAAAAGAAAATAGAGTGTGATTCAGCAATTGTGGACTAACAGTGGACTTCTGCTATTTGAAACAATTTGATCTGGTTAACAGAGAATATAACATCCCAATGTTATGCATTTTCTGCTGGAAGAGCCTCATCTTCTCAATATATGTACAATTAGTGCCCCCAAAACAGGAAATACTTAGCTACTAAGAAATATCATCTAAAGCACTAATCATATGATAATTAGATCATACTTGGCCTCCATGCTTAGCTTTGTTCTTGTGCTTCCACCTCTCGAAAGTGCATATTCAGCCTTCCAAAGAGAAAGCAGAAGTCAGAATTTAAGAAAAAAAGAAACTTGTGATACCTCATCCCAATAGACACTAAATAAATGCTTCAACAACAAGAAGCAAAATTAACGAAAAAATGTAACAAATCATATGCTATAGAAAATTTCAATACATTACATGATACTATAAAACTTGAGCAGTCTCCTGAATACCTGCTGCTTTGCTTCCTCAAAAGCCTCAACCCATTTCACGGCTTCTCCAGCGGTAGCACAAGCAATCTAAAATACAGTTTATAGAAAGAAGAAAAAAAAGTTACTTAATGCACCTGCGTTAGGCAAATATACTTGGTAGAAACAATCTAACTTTAGATTCTAAAATACACTTTCAAGATAACAAAATAGCTTACTATTGAACATCACCATATTAACTCTATACGTTAACTATTTGGTTCATCCAAGTGTGAAAATACACAAAAAAATCATAGGCCTACCACAGAACAAACTAATGTTCACAGTGGCAAGCTTTAAGTCTATTGCGCATTTGTCACAAGGCTATTGCAAAGATTGAATTATAACTTACTTCTCCTTTTCTTGACTCGTCCAACCGGTTATAGAACCTTATGACATAGACATCCTACAAGATATAATAGAAATAAAACTAGTAAGTGTACCTGTTTTTCCATTTAGTCTCTCATTGGAACATATAACTAATATACAAGATAGGGAATAGCAGATCTGTATTCTACGCAGATTGCAGTTATAGAAGTAGAGATTGAAAAGTACTACCCCACGATTCACTTTGCGACGTCCTAACTCTTCAATCATCATTGTAGGGCCAATGACACCACGCCTTATAGGTTTCTAGACAAACAAATAGACAAAATGGATATAATAGAATATCAACACACATCTAAACGGCATATCCATTTCAAACTAAAGAAAGGAAAATATAGAGACCAACAAACATCAAGTAGAGCACTATATCCTTGAGAAAAGCAACATTGAATTCAATGTATTCGATAAAATAATATATCGAAATTCAAAAGCATGAAAAACTTGCTTAAGTTCATTTCAATAAAAAGGGCTCAAAATAGCCAAGAAACAACACTTATAGACACATACAAATTTCTGATACCATGTACCTTCCATTCACATAAACTAAGCAGAGAAAAGGAGTTTCCTCTGAAACTTGCAAGGAAACCAAGCAAAAAAATTCAACAGCCAACGAAGAGAAAAACACAATTAGTTCTTCTAATTTCCTAAAGATTCAATCAATTTTGAGAATTTGAAAAAAAACAATTCCAAACAATCCAGAAATCACAAAAAAAGATTAAAGGAGAAGAAGGATCAAAGCACATACAATGTCTGGGTTCTCACGAGGATCTCTTTTATACATCTCAACATATTTGCCTCTAATGAAAAGAAAACGAAGATTACAGTACTCATGACCGATCTTATTCACACCCAAATGATAAACCCAACCAAAATACTCAAACGTTCCTCCTTCTCCGCCGCCGCCGCTGCTGCTACGGCTACTGCTTCCACTATCATTAAGATCTCCGGAAAAGCTAACTTTTCCGAGATTACCGGAAACTTCCTTCTCCGATCCGTCGGAGGTAACAAGTTTCTTCGATCCAGGCGATGTCATCGCCTTTCACCGGATCAATCAATCAACGCGAAACAATAATTCGGCTAGATTCGATTTCGTTGCTTCATTCAATTTCGAGAATCCACTTTTTTTCTTTGGTTTGTCTCTCAATTATGGAGTTTGTTGGGTTTGGGTTCATTGATTCTGAGCCTACTCTGCGACGAATTTAGTTCCTCCAATCAAAACCCTCCACGTCAGGTGAATGTTTGTGTTTTAGCCATTTTCAGACTTTGCATTAAAACAAAATTTAGGTGAGATTATAACATACCATTACCGGCAAGCATCATAAAGTAAGTTTTTTTTTTTTGACGGCCACATTTTCCATTAGGTAAGGAACGAAATTACATAATAGTGTTCGGTTTACAAATTTAAGACATACATTTAATGGATCCACGAGATAACAAATGGTAAGTTTTGTTGCCTAGCTTTGCGAGCTAGCATGTCGGCTATGGTATTGACTTGTCGACCGACGCACTTGAAATCATAAGAACTCTTCGCCATAGCCAATATATCTTCAAGATATCCTTGAATCTCCAATGGCCCAGGATTTCGTTGATTTTGTGTAGCTGACTCCTCCAAATAATTGTATAGCGTACTAGAATCACCATAGAAAGTGACATTTTGGTAATTGAGTCGTTTTATCTGGAAGAGGGCTTCTCTCAGCGCCATGGCCTCAGCTTCCAAAGCTGAATTAGTAGGATCAATGGATGAGGATCCTTTTAGAATGCAGCGTCCTTTTTCATTAAAGAGGGCCCAACCAATGCCTGCTCTGCTATTTGGATCCAGCCAAGAACCATCTGATGATATTTGTAAAGGTGATAGCTCCCAAATCTCTTTTGCTAACCGACATTGGAAGAAAAGATGGGGAACGGTTTCAGCAACATCACCACAAAAAAGGCAGTCTGGGGAGATTTGGATGCGCCTACGAGCAATATTCGCTTGGAGTTGGGCTGAAACTGTGGAACAGTCTGGATGTGGCTTTGATAGTTGATGGTATCCAGACTTGACAGTATACTGGCCATCTTTAGTAAATATCCATGTAGGAATATCAGGGCCTTTAAGGAGCCTCAATCGTATTCTCCTAATAAGCTGAGTGTCTTGAGGACAGATTATCTCCTGTAGCTTCTCATCATCCCAAGATGATGTGCCTGGCTTTATGAGTCCTGAAACTGTCAAATTATCATTTGCAATATTTACCAAACTTTTTGGTGGACGCGGAGGATTGTCAATCCATGGGTCATGCCATACCCGAACTGTATGACCATTACCTATTCTCCACTTTAAGCCCTGCTTTATAAGAGATGTACCTTGCACTATACTACGCCAGGCATGACTTGGGCGGTGGCCAGCTGTGGCTTCCAGCAGGGAAGCTTTGGGGAAATATTTTGCTTTAAGAACACGGGAGAGTAAAGACTGAGGTTCCTTTAACAAACGCCAACTTTGCTTTGCCAATAGAGCAATATTGAAATGAGAAAGATCTCTAAAGCCCATGCCTCCATACTGTTTCATCATGGTGAGCTTGCTCCATGCAACCCATGGAATCTTCTTCTTATCTTTAATGCTAGACCACCAAAAGCGTCGTATTTGAGCAAATAATATGGCAGATTTTTGGAAATTAATATGCTGGCCGGAAGCAGTAGCATAAGTTTGAAGTAGTTGTAGGACTTGATGACATTCTTGTTCATTTGCTTGACAAAAAAGAAGAGAATCATCTTGACGCAGTCCTCTGCTAGGGATAATCTTCTTAGAAGGAGATCCATTAATAAGCACTGAGTATGTGACTGTGGTAACACATTTCATTATCCATTGACACCATCTCTCTGATTTAATTGTATTCCAATGATATTTGTAGAAGCCTGCATTGAACCCGTCAGGCCCTGGAGCTTTGTCTACGTTCATGGCAGCTAAAGCTTTAAAGATCTCCTCTTCAGATACTGGCTTAGTGAGCTGCTGGTTCATTTCTGCAGTGATTTTTGGTTGAATATGTTGCAGCACAGGATCCAGATCAGTTGCTTTTTGCAGGGCTATCATAAAGTAAGTTAATTTCACTAAATACGCTTCAGTTAATAAAGTAGAAAACTTTCCCAACAAAAAAAATCCAATTATTTTTTTTTATGTAAACAGTGTATTTTCTCTTTTTTCTTACATTACTATGTAAACAGTGTATATTAGTTTATCAACCATCCCTGCAAGTAATTAATTGTGTTGAACCCAATTTAGTCACTCATCTCCTTGCAAGTGGGATAAACTGATAGAGACCATTCGTAGACTTATTCAACTTTCTAAAAGCCCAAAAGGGGAAGGTGCTTGCATTCATAATTTTTAGATCCATGGACCTCTTTTTTTTTTTTTTTTGACGATGATCCATCGATCCTACGCATGACCAAAAACTAACCGTAACCATATTTCGGACCGTAACCGGACCGTAACCGTATAAAACAGTTAAAACCGTAACCGTTAACCGTCAAAACAGATTAGTTACAGTTAAAAAAATATACTAACCGTAACCGTCAATTAACCGTAAACGTGTCAAAACCGTTAGTTAACTGCATGGTTAACCGCACTATTAACCGCATAGTTAAAACTTTAAAAATATGATTGTAGATGCGGATGATGCAAAAACAAATTTCGAATGTTCAGATAAAGATTTTCAAAAAAAGTAAATGATACCGCACATTAAAAAATCTACGTTAGGAAAAATGGTTTTTTTCTCAAACAAATATGTTCTAATGCTATATTGCTAAAAATGAAGAAAATTTGGTTTATAACATACTTTTTTATTCTATTCAAAGTAGTATAAAAAGTTAGGTAACTCGTAAGATTTTACCTACGATATTAACCGTATCGTAATCATCAAATAACCGTAACCGTATTTAACCGTAACCGTAACCGTAACCGTATTTAACCATAACCGTTTTAACCGTATATATAATGGTTAAGGTTACGGTTAAAGAAAATTTATAACCGTAACCAGCGGTTAATCGACCATAACCGTAATAACCGTAACCGTGGTCATGCCTAATCGACCCTTAGAAACAAATTTTTATCTATTTACAAATTACAATACAATAATTCAAAATAATATGTATAGTTAGAAAAAAAAAAAAAAAGGTGAAAAAATAGGAAACAAATACGTAAAAACAAAAAATAAAAGTAAATAGGATTGTGGAAGACTTGTGGGTTGTACTCTCTCTTTTTTTTTTACTAGGAATGTGAAATTTACTCCCAAAAAAAAAATGGTTATCTATACTATTAATTGGGAAGCATTGGATAATAAATAACCTTATAAAGTGTAAATAATTACAAAGGATGCCATTGAGATTTTTGCATTTTAAGACAATTAAAAAGATTTCGTCGGAGGGTAAAATGGCCAATTTGATGCTCACTTCAACGCGGACCTTGGATTTCGGGCCGGATCTAGATCCATAGTGATTTGGTAAAACACGCGGATCCTGAAACGTGGGGATTTGGATCAATAATAATTGCGAGTGTCATCTTAATGGGCTTAGGAGATAAAGGCCTTTCTTATGCTCGCAAACTTATGTTTGAGATCTGCAGAAATATGAAGTTTGAACAAATTAGATTCAATAACTTAAAATATATTTCTATAATAAGCAAATTCCATATATTGTGATTAGTAAATAAGAACAAATCTCTTTATATTCGAATCCAGTTATTACTTTTTTTACTTAAAATATCAAAATCAATAAATTCAAATTTGATTTAATCACTTAAACGGTTTTTTGTTACCAAAAATATCAAAATCTTTTAATTCAAATCGGAACAACTGACGCATATACCTTAACAATCTTTATTCGCAAATATTCTCTTTGATATGATTTTCTAAACCCTAAAAAAAATGTAGCTGACTTTGAATTACTATAAATATAGGATGTGAAATGCCGTAGAAGATACTCACTCACCTTTTAAAGCGAGAACTCTTCTCTTCCTGTTCCTTCAAAGAATATGGCAGCACAGCTTGCATCGACCGATCTTGCTGACATCAAACCTTTCAAAACAGGATGGAGAATCCAAGTTAAAATCATGCATATGTGGTCTCAATACACGCAATACACTGAGAAAACAATGGAAATGATTCACTCTTATACATATGTAAGTATAGATTCGATTTTCACTAAATCTTATACTCTTTACAGTCTTATAATTATCATTAAAAGATCCTATTATTAACACGATTTTATTCTCTTCAATATAGGGTACTTTGATTCATACTACTATTAAGAAACAACAAGTGAACAGGCTTCATAGGTTCATCAAATCTGGAGTGCAGTATTGTGGAAAATTTTATACTTACAGGGCAATCAAACATGTGCTTAAAATGTATAACATAATGCTGAGCAACTCGATGTGCAGCAAAACGCATGTACGATGTTGGAAAAGGCAGGAATTCTAACTGAAGCTGCTCAGGGTTTTGAAAGAACTTCTGTATATCAATCTCCATCGACAAAACTAAAAGTTACACCAACCAACAAAAAAAACAACCTTTTTATCACCATCAACCACATTTTAAGAGAATCTTTTGTAGATAGAAAAATTAAAATTCAACATAAAAAGAAAGTGTTGAAACTAGAGGATAAGAGACTTATAAATATGCAAACGAGCTTAGAGAGGATCACATCAGCCAAACGGTTATGCAAATAAGAGTGATTTGAATACTCAAGCTTCAATGTTCATGTTGCCTATGAAACAATCGTGATCATGAGGATTCTGATTGAGCTAAAAATACAAGTGACTATGATTTGGGTCATAGAGCAATCAAGAGGATTGTTAATAGTCATGGATCTAATCAAACCCTAATCACCAAAGCATAAACCATAGAATTGAACCAAACACCCCAAAAAATGATCGAGGATTAGAGAAACTAATAATTGTCCCCCCCCCCCCCAATTCTATGAAACCCTAGCACACTACCACGAAAGGGAAATGACCAAAATCAGATCAAACCAAAAAGAGAAAAAGCAAAATCGAATCGTGGGTAAGAAAGAAAATTGACTAAACTGGTGAGACGATGGCGAGGATTCTGAAGAGCCTCGACCAAAAAAGGATCTACCATAGCTTCCTTCTCGGTCATAGCAGCCATAGATGAAGAAAAGATTTGTATCTCTTACCTCTGCTATGTCTTATAAATCCTTTGTTCTATATCTTTGATTTTGTTGTCTCCCTTCACCTGAGATTAGAAGAGAAAACACATCAACGAAACAAAGGGGAGATAATTTCTGATGAGCTTTCTATGAGAGAAATAATAAAAATAAAGTTGCTTCCTTTGAGTTTTTTTTTTTTTTTCTTTTTTTTTTTTTTTTTTTTTTTTTAATTCATTCATTAGTCTGTGTGTTGTATTTTTTGTAGGTTAAGTGGGTTTTGTAAAGTTGATTTAGTTGAATCATAAAGTGTAAAAGTTGGATCAAATTCTTAGGGGCTCCTCAGGGGCCAATTTTTTTCTCAAATGCTCTTGTTATAACATTTATTTTAATTTTGATTTTTTAAAAATCGAAAAAGGAGACAAAGACATACGGGACCTTGATATTTTGATTTTATTACGTACCCAACCAAGCTAAATGGGTTAAAATAACCCAACTTCTCTTCAAACCGGGTCGAAACTCCAAAACCCTAAATTCCTCTTCCCTTTTCCTTTGTCGACATATCAAACCCGACAAAAAAAAAATTCTTATCCTTCATCCTCTTCTATCCATCCTATACACCACAAAACCAAAGATTAACATCTGGGATTCTTCTTTCTCCTTTCATTCCGACATCTTCGTCATCCTCTGTAAGTGGAATTAGTCTTTTGCTTCAAATTCTTTGGAATTCAAAAGAAATTTCGGATTAGAATTTGAGAGTACTTATGTCTGAGATTACTTATGTCTATAATCTGAGATTACTTATGTCTAGAATCTTGAATCTGAGAGTACTTATATCTGAATGTTGGGGTTTTGTTTTTAGATTCGAAAGAGGTCCAATTCCAAAATGGCTCGGACCAAGAACGCAACGGTTGTTCCAACCGAGCATGAAGCAGACCCAGTACTAGGCGAAGAAGAAGAAGAGTTGCCTAGAGAAGATCCCGGTAAAGAGCCAGAAGATTATGAAGAAGCGGAGCAAAATTCAATGGTATATGTTTGTGTAAAAATTCAATTTAAATTTGATAAATCTGTTGCTTTTGTAAGTTTTGTAAGATGAGTGTGTAACTTGATTTGGATTGTAGGATTCTGAAGATGAAACTGAACCACTACGACCATTGAAGATGTACTTTAGCCCCTCCGATTATGTGAAGCCATTCAAGCTATCATCTAAGTGTTATATTCATCAAGCGGTGAAGCTTTTGCGGGGGCATCTTTCAGTTGATGAGTTGAAATGGTTTTTGGAGCATCCACAGTTCAAGCACTTCTTCCATATGCATACGGGTTCAAATCACAAGTTAATGGGAATGTGGATGCTTCTTCTACGCACTGCTTGTCTTGATAAGAAGAAGGAATGTTGGTTTGTTGTCAACGGTGTACCAATCCGCTATTCTATCCAAGAATTTGCACTCAGTTCTGTTTGTTCTGTCATTCTTATCCAAAAAATTATGAAGCAATTGGCAGCGATAGGTTCTCTGGAAAACATTTTGGTGCAACCGGAACAGTTACATATGCGAGAGTGAAGGAAAAATTACTCTCGATGAAGAGATCTAACCCTGACCGTTTGAAGATGGCTGTCATATATCTCTTATGTAGTGTGATCGTCGGGAAGAGAAAAACTCGACCACTAGCAGATCCTGTGGAAGACTTGTTTCTTAGAGCCGTGGAAGATCTAGAATGGTGTAAAACGTTCCCATGGGGCCGATTTGCATTTGAACATAATATGAAAGATATTTTTCATCTCCTGGACCACTTTGATGGAGGATTGGGCGCACAATGGGTGTTTCCTAGCTTCGTGATGCCTTTGGAGGTATGTAATTTTAATATGGATTTTCTTATTATGACTGGGTACAACTGGAAAACTTGGTATAACTATAGTTTGAATGTATTGGTGTTGTTTGTAGATTCTAGCATTTGAGGCCATCCCAAATCTAATGAACCAATTCAGAGAACATGTTGTATCAGCAGATCCTGAGTGCCCTAGGATGTGTAAGATGAAGTTCAAACCTAGTAGTATGAAAGGTTTTCCTATGTCGGAGTTGTATGATTCTCTTGGTACAACAAAGGTTAGAGATTCTGAAATTTCTGTTATTTTTAATATCCATATGAAATTGAGAGTACAGAATTGAATGGTGTTTTTTTTTATATGTGTTCATAGGAAATTGAGAGTATCATGCTTCCTAATCCTTCTGAAAATGAACTTTTGCGTCGAATAATGGATAATGAGGATGGATCAGATGATTTTGATGATGTGATTGTTAATGGTTGGACAAGGCGTATATTTAAGGTTCACAAGCAAGTTTGTTTTGAGGAGCTTCATAATATAGATGTTGGTAACCGTGTTATGGAGGAAAAGTCAAGAGAATGCAGTTGTGGGTGGGGTGAGAGTTAGTAGGAGAAAGGTTGCTCCGAAGAAGGTGAGTAAAAAAGGATTGGTTGAGCAGCTACAAAAACAGTTGGAAGATGGTTTTAGGAGAATAAATAAGAAGTTTGATGGCTTTGATAAAAGACTCAAATGTGTGGAATCAGATGTGAAGAGTTTAAAAGAAGCTAGCGGGAAAGCTAATGAGTTGGATAAAAGAGGTGAAGAGAAATATTCTGAGTTGGAAGAAGATGAGATCGAAGAGAGTGGAGGTGAAGATAAAGAGAATGCGTCTGAGTTAGAAGAGGATGAGAATGGAGAAGATGGAGAGAAAGACAAAGAGTTTGAAGAAAATGATAATGGAGAAGATGGAGAGAAAGACAAAGAGTTGGAAGAGAATGAGAATGATGAAGATGGAGAGAAAGACAAAGAGTTGGAAGAGAATGAGAATGGAGATAATGGAGAGAAAGAAAAAGAAGGTGATTTGGAAGGGAATGACTTGGATGGAGATAATGAAAAAGAAGGTGATTTGGAAAGGAATGACTTGGATGGAGATAAAGAGAAAGAGAAAGAAGAGTCAAGTGAGAAGAGACAGCAGGTGAAGAAGAAGTACGAGAGAAAGAGAACAAGGAAAACAAGTGCAGAAGAACAAGAAGAAGAGGTTCAAGTCGGAAAAAAGGCTAAGGTGACGAAGAAGAAGGTGGGTGTTATGGTTAGGAGTCCGATTATGACAAGGAACAAGAAGAAGTAAACTCTTTATGTGACATCTTTTTTGTTGCTGTTGGTTTGTGTCAGGATTTGTTATGTGGATGTTTAGGTATCTTTATTATGTAGGGTAACTGCGGCATTTTGTTTAACTAGGTATTACTATGTTGTTTTGTTAAACTTGGTATTTTTATTATCTTGGTACAACTATGTACGTTTGTTCAACTTGGTATTTTTATTAATTATGTACAACTGCATCATATTTATTAAACTAGGTAAAACTATGTACGTTTGTTCAACTTGGTATTTTTAATAACTATGTACAACTGCATCATTTTTGTTAAACTAGGTACAACTATGCAGCTATTTAGGTTTTATTTTTGCAACATTACCAAAATTTAAATACAAATAGATAGGAATTAGAAGACAATGACTAGGAGAAATAGGTTTAATCGGACTTACAATACTAGAATTCGCCAAATACATATTTTTGAGACAAGTCCAAAAGAACTACAAAGTTGTACTTAGAAATACCAAGTTACAAGAACAACTGTGAGAAGACAACCAACGAAAAAAGGTACCATCATTTTTGTAATTTCGTTGGTTTCTATCTGTCGTCCCACCTTTAGCAGTGCAACTTCTTCTTCAAGAACACGAACTTGAAAATCCAACTGTTCTACCTCATTTACCAATGCCTCGTCCACCCACTTGAAGACATGGCTATCGTTCATAAGCTACATTCAAAATTTAAAAAAGAATTAAGAGAACGTGATCTTCTACAAAAAACTCATAAACTTACAATGAGACTTTTACGTTTCTATCATAAGCATATTTGCATCGGTAGTAGCGGCGGTAAGGATTTGGGACTGATTTGGAGATCTTTTCAACGATCTCGTCGCCACATCTACACCTCTTTGGAATCCCAGCAACTTTTACTCTTGTTCGACTAGAGGAGGTTTCACTCGAGCTCGGAGCTGAAGAAACATGACTCATCTTTCTTTTATGGAAGGTTAAGAGATTTTGGGATTGTTAAGATATTTTAGAATTTTGTGGATTTGAGATGGAATTGGGGATATTCAGATGGAAGATGTAATTGGGTAGGGTAGATTTCGTGGGATGAGGTGAAAAAGAAATATTTCATAAATGGGTGAAAAAGAAATAGGGGGAATTTCAGAAATTGGAGGGAAATGAAATGGGTGAAAAAGAAATGGGGGGAATTTCAGAAAAAACGAAGTATTGAATATTTTAAAGAGAAATTAGATATTTTGGGCAAATAACACGTGATCCACATTGCGCCGTCATTTGTACACGTGGCGCCATCATTTGTACACGTGGCGCCGTCATTTGTACACAGGTTTTCCAAGTTTCCAAGTTGTACTTATATACAAACAGTTGTACATTTTGGGGTTTTACTGTATAATTAGTTATTCTTTGATTAATATTAATTTTTATTAGTTGTACAAATGATTTTATGTATATGAGGTGAATTTCAAACATATTCATTCAAAAAAATGTGTAAAATGTTAATTTTTCAGACTTTTGACATTCAACATGGGGATTCAAAGGTAAGACATCTTAAAAGTATAAGGACTTTCATGTAGAAAACTAACATGTGTTAGGATTTTCATATAAATTTTATTTATCAAATGTTGATTACAAAGCTTGAATTTGATTATGTAACACTAAGTTGTCTATTTCTTTACAAAATTTGATTATGTAACACTAATTTGATTACAAACCTTGTTTTACAAAATCAGAGAGTGTATAAAAATACGATATCAAAGACATACATAGTTGTACCATTACGAAACCAAGTTTATCCAAGTTTTACAAAACCAGAGAGTACATAAAAACACGAGATCAGAGACATACATAGTTGTACCATTACGAAACCAAGTTTATCCAAGTTTTACAAAACCAGAGAGTACATAAAAACACGAGATCAGAGACATACATAGTTGTACCATTACGAAACCAAGTTTATCCAAGTTTTACCAAACCAGAAAGTACATCAAAACACGAAATCAGAAACATAAATAAAAATACTGAGTACATTAATCTTGGCCACCTCCCTGGTTCCCACCTTCCCGCTCTGGAAACCACCTCTCCAAATTTCTGCCTTCCACACGCTTACTCTTTTGGCGTCGTTCCCCAACAGATGGATATCTAGTTTCTTGAATTCTACCCTTTCTTACAACATGAACCGGGGGGAATGCGTACAATTCTTGGATTTCACTTGGAATAACCCACTCAGACCTATGCGGCACTGGGAAAATCGTTCTAACATATGCCATAACCCAAAGCTCAACAAAGTAATATTTCGTGCACAAATCATATAAACTACGTACCTCCGATGTTAAATTTTCTTGTTTCAAGTGAGTCATCGTAGCGGCTATTGCATGTACACAAGGATATTTGTCCAAGTCAAAACGACGGCAATAACAAGTTTTATTCCTCAAATCCACCACATAGGTCTTACCATCGCGACCAATAACACTATATTGAAGCTCGTAGGTGTTAAGCTCCTTCACCGTTAATTTGATTGCAACCTCACATGTTTCGTGTATGTCATTCTCCACAAAAGGAACAAGTTTCTGTGCATTTGATCCACCTATGGCTTCTGTCCTATTATTGCAGAACCATTCTGCAATTTTTTCAATAATTGAATCTATCATAGGTAACAGCGCATACCCCCTCACCTTGCTAAAAACACCATCCATAGATTCAACCGCATTACTGGTATCTATGTTGTACTTTACTCCGGGAAAATGACACCTTGCCCATTTTTCTAAATCGGTCTTATCATCAAGATATGTGGCTATCTTAGGGTACCTTCTTCTGAAATCTGCATATTCATTCTCAAACTCAGAAACTGTACAAATGGCTGCAATTTCCCTGAATTTTTTAGCAGCGTCTTCTCTGTTATGTGTAACTTTTGTTTTCACATTCTGTGACAAATGATAGATACAGTTTCCATGGTGAGAGCTCGGGTACACTTCAGCCACTGCCTTGATAAGGCTTTGATTTCTATCAGATATGAAGACCAATTCAGGACTATCCAAGTATGATGGTTTTCAGAGTTTCAAAAAACCACTTCCAAGTAACATCTTTTTCACTATCAGCTACAGCAAACGCTAAGGGATAATGGTGATGATTCGGATCTTGAGTTGTGGCAAAAATAAGAATACCGCCATATACAGTCTTCAAAAATGTTGCATCCACAATAATCACTTTCCTCATGACTTTAAACCCTTCAATGGCAGCCCACAAAGCGACAAATAGGTACTTGAACCTTTTTTCTTCATCTAATACAACACTAGTTTTTGTTCCAGGATTCACCTTCTCTAACATATACAAATAAGAATAAATCATCTTGAAACTCTCGACTGGACTACCACGAATATCACTAACAGCTAGTTTTTTTCCTCTAAAAGCAGTCGAGTATGACACTGTTGTACCAAGTTTTCCCTGAACAAGACCAATGATAGTTTTAGGATCTGGGGTCTTGAATTTACCTGGAAAACCATCATGTAATACAGATGCAACTAAACGTGGTGTGCCTCTCTTTTTTATGCCCGTAGCAGTAGTCGACCGAGAGCATATATGCATCTTCCTATATGTTCGAACCGAGAATCGAGTTGAATCCTTAGCCCTTGTAGCTCGTACATACCATTTACAACCTTCTTCAGCACATCTTACCCACATACCGCTGCGTATCCGAGTTGAGTGTAAACACTCCAAATAAATTCAGATTTGCTCCTGTCTCAACTAAATATTGCACATCATTCTTGCTTTAAAATTCTTGACCTATTACTAGATCAAGACCATCTTCCCATGGCTTTTTAAACTTAGCGTTTTGGCGTGCACGTGGCTTCTCAACATATTCACAAATACCATCATTCTCCGTACTCCTTTCCGCATTGTTATCAACACCATTTTCCACATCTCTGATAACAACATTTTCTAGTGGCTCCAAAGGCTCAGAAAGTTGTTCTGCTAGTGGCTCGTTTGCGTAAAGAGTTACGGCATCAACATTAGCTCTATCATTATCTATACCATCGGAAATCTGCTCAGCAAAATTCACACCAACTGAACTTCTTCTATGTACTCTCGACTCTTGCTCGTTTAACAGAACTATTTCCAACTCATTACTGACTTCTACATGCAAGACACTTCTTTTCTCTTTATCCAACGTTGTTAGATAAACATATACATCATCATCATTCCAAATATACGAATATGTAGGAGGTTGAACTCCCGATGGAATGTAACTCAATTTCACCTTTGTTGTAGATTCATCTATCCTCATCTTCATGCATATCTTATCTACTAACCGCGAATAAGTAATCTCCTCCATTGATGATGTCCTAAACGATAGACCATACAAGCCAGGTACCCTTGGATTCCATTGATATGCATCTCCGGTTTTTGAATAATATCCATCATAATCAAAATGTATGTTAATTGGAAGGTTGCTCATTCTCCTGGAAAAAAAAAATACATTAACAGTTATACCAATATTACCAGTTATACCACTTCTAACAGTTACCTCAGAAATACCAGATATACTACTTCTAATAGTTATACCACGTTTCTTAGTTATACCCAGGTTTTCTCAAAAATATCAGATATACTACTTCAAATAGTTATACCACGTGTCTTAGTTATACCCAGATTTTCTCAAAAAATACCAGAGATACTACTTCAAACAGTTATACCACGTTTTTAAGTTATACCCAAGTTTTCTCAAAAATATTAAATATACTAATTCAAACAGTTATACCACGTTTTTCAGTTATACCCAGGTTTACATGTTCTACTCTATTTGCAAATCGATTCTCGGACCAAAAACACTAATCTACCTACTGTTAACAACGAATCAACTACTATAGTCCATTAAAGTGTCTTAATCGACCCATAATACATAGTTACCAACACAATGTCCATTAATTACCAACACCAATTGAAAACCCTATCAAATCTAATAGAAATCTCCAAATTTCAAACAGTTATACAAAAATAAACTAAAGACTCGATGTTAGAAGT